GGTAAATGATAAGGTTGGCGATGGTTATGGTGTGAATTATTAACTGATGACACATGAATATGTTTTGACAAATTTTATTTCTTACATTATATTTTGTTCCACGTTTATTTTAAAGCTTACCAGACAGTATCAAGAAACCTAATTTTGTTAGTTGTATTGACTGGTGTGGAATGAAGAGCTTTCAAGTGTGATGTTACTGATGTATCAGTAACCAAAAAATGATACAATGCACTACACTATACAACGCAGAAGTGCGTCCCTAAGGAACCAACAATACACTGTGTTTTAATGAAAATTAATGAATAACTAAATTTTGTTCTATTATTGTGCCATAATCATCAGTACACTTGAAGTGGAAAACAGAGTTTATATATGCTCATACTTTTCCACTAATAATACATCAACAACTAGAACTTCAGGAATCAGGGGAGGACAAGAACACTTAGCACTGTTTCCTTGCATAATAGTGATGAATACATGATAATTTGGGTGCATAATACATGATCATTGGGGGATAAACACAAGAGATTGAGCAAACCTCAGCTTAAGTACACTGTCAGTTAATAATTCAATCATAAAGGCTTTGGGTGAATGGAAATGCTAAATTAATATTTGCAGGGGTTTATTGGTACTCAAAGAAAATATCAGCAGTCCTTTGCAGAAGATAATTAATTCTACTTGGAAATTGTTAGAGAATAAACACAATTTCAGGCATCAAACACTAACCAGGGTCTTCCTTAACAGATGCCAGTCGATGTTCTTCCAACTGCTGTGCAATAGAAGAAGACATGTGTCTTGATGAGCATCTAATGAAAGATGAACCCAAACTCCTGCATGCTTGAACCTCGACAACATGATTGTCTTGTGTGCCTTCAATGAAAGATGAACCCAAACTCCTGCATGCTTGAACCTTGACAACATGATTGTCTTGGTGAGCCTTCAATGAAAGATGGACCCAAACTCCTGCATGCTTGAACCTTGACAACATGATTATCTTGGTGCACCTCCAATGAAAGATGGACCCAAACTTCAGCATGCTTGAACCTTGACAACATGATTGACAGTTGAGTTGAAGAAGTGCCATCTGCAATATATTTCATCAAAAGTCAAACAGACCAAATACATTTTATGCCAATATGGTCAAGCTGGTGAAAATATTATTTATTGTACAGTATGTTGAATATAACAGAGGTTGCTACAAAGAAAGATAAACAATGTTAAAAGGAATTCCTGTGAACAACACACGAGTCGCCACTTTCCTCAAGTTGCAGTCTTTCAATAAAAACATATTATCAAAGTACAATTAATTAACAACATTTTTGTACAGATTTTAAAAGCTTGAAGATGTTTTCTAGCATTCAAAATTGTTTTGCAGATCAGTATTACATTTTTTAATGAATATTGCAAAGTAGGTATACACAACAGTAACTCAAGGGTCATTGACAGTAGGCCTTTAAAACAGAATTGAACAATAAATTAATGAACATTAATTGATAAATTGAATATTAATTAATATTCATTAATTGATAGATTGATAAATTGAACATTAATTCATAGCTAATACAATAAAATTGGATTGTTACCTTCCATTTTTACCTTGATTTTTTGGTCATTGATTACATCATTTGCTACTGATACAATTAAAAATCACAACAGTTACAATGATCATGTATTATAAATGAAAAATCACAACAGTTACAATGATTATGTATACTTGTTAAATACCTGCTTCAGAAGTTTAAAACATTTAACTAATAACATTCAATTACATTTGAAGCAGAAACATCTGAAAACATTTGACTGAACCATAGTGGCAAACAAGAGAATTTTTTAGAATCAGTTCATTTTTAATTTTCTCATTTACTCTAATATGTTATGCATGATAATGCTGGTATGATGGTATCTATGATAATTTTCTGGTCTCCTTATCACTGAACCTTGTGTTCTGTAAATAATGGTTACAGCCTTACAGGGAACCAATTCACATGAATGTCACATCACTTAAATGGCATTGGAACTGCAAGGAAAGATTTGGCAACCATTTTAGCAACTTGATTAGCAATTCAAGTGAAAAGACCCTTCAACAAACAGTTTTCATCAACTTTCTAACTTTTTTTGTTTTATTTTTAAGGTTTTGGTTGCATCAACCAAGCACCCTACTTCATAGTGACAAACCAGAGATATTTTAGAATCGGTTCATTTTTAATTTCCTCATTTACTCAAGATTTAAACCAATTTCTTATGCAAGATAATACTGGTATCCATGATACTTTACTGGTCTACTTATAGGACTCAAAAATGAACTTGAGGAAGAGTCTATAAAACTCTTTGCTTTGCCACTATGCCCTACTTGATATGAAATTGCAGGGTGAACCAGTGGTGGCCGGGGTGGCCATGTGGTGGGCGGGGTGGCCCAGTAGTGGGCAGGGTGGCCCAGTGGTTACAGTTCAGAGTACCAGGATTGGAGCAGAAAGTTGAGCTTGAGGGTTTGATCCCAGCTCTGTGCGCCAGTTTCTGGACAGTATAGGCAAGGCCGGGCGGTTAAGCACAGCAAAACTGAAGCAGTGAGTTTTGAGTTCAAGACCACAACAAGCTGTGAATGTTCTGTGCTGATAAGAATTGTTGACAGGCCTAGGGCCTAATAAACACTGAAATGGCTAATATTATTATTATAGTATAATAGCAAGGCAATCTTTAGCCAAGGAAACACAAATTATATAACTAAAACCACCGCTGAAATGGATCAGAAATCCTTTCAAGCAGAAGTTGGGACTACTTAAATGTCTGGATATACAGTACAGCTGGATTTACTGTACAGCTGGATATACGATACGGCTGGAAATATGGTACGGCTGGAAATACGGTACAGATGGATGTACAGTATGGCTGGATCTATGTTACAGCTGGTTATACAGTACAGGTAGATTTATGGTGCAGCTCAATATATGATATGGCTGGATATACAGTACGTGTAGATTTAGGGTATGGCTGATATACGGTACAGCTGGATATATGGTAAATTCACCTATAATTGCCATCCTTGATTGAGATTGCATCATTTGCTGATATATTTAAAGAATACAATCAATTCATGGAGCTCATTACGTAGATTTCTTCAATGAACTAATGAGTTGACTCTAATGCAAACACCACAGCGTTAAAATTATTTGCACGCCACTTTCTTTCCAATGTTTCCTTGAATATCTCAAAACCTAATGAATTTACTAGCCTGAGATTTGATTGAACTATGCAGTTTGTAATAGGGAAAATAACACTAGATACACTTTCAGATCAAGATGTAATTTGAACAAGTTTTAACACGCTGAAGTTCCCTAACACCTTCAGAAAGAAACTGTTGGAAAATACTAACAGTGGCATTAATCAGTGTCAATTAATTAATCAGTGTCAATTAATTAATAACTGTAATCAATTAATTAATCAGTGTCAATTAATTAATAACTGTAATCAATTAATTAATCAGTTTGTAACACCATTAAATCATTTGTTAGTTTGAAGTAGATGGAAAAACAATTAATTTGAGTATATCTACAGGTCCTGTCACAATATGAAATATGTCACGTTGGCAACAGCTGAGTTAGTTATAGAATAGAAATGATGGCACCGAAGAAATAGGCCCATGGCTTGTTGCCGATTCTTGTACTTTTCTTCATTCCACAAGGGATCCGGCCTTCTGAACCCAATCTTTCCTTAACTTATGATTGTTGGATATAGCTCCTGGACTTATTGCAAGGCTTGTAAGGTGCTAGGCATTACAAGATTGAACAAATGCTCCTGCATAGCTTGTCTAGCCTAATCTTGAAGGCGTTCATACTTGGAGCATCCATGATGCTATCAGGGAGGCTGTTCCACATGTCGGTGACTCAAAGCGAGAAAAAATATCGTCACATGGAAGTGTTACAATGCAGCTTTTTTTAGTTTATAGCCGTGGCCCATGGTGTTGGTTCTTGTTTCAAATTCTAGTAATCCTTCTGGGAACTTGTATAAACCATGAGTTATAATAATAGGTTATGAGCCACATGAGTTATAATAATATAGTTATAGTTTATGAGTTGTTCACTGACAAGCTGCTTGTTCTCTTAAATTACATGATGCTCTCAACAACTGCAATCATTTCTAAACTAAACTAGAACAGAACACAAAATCTAATTTTTAAACTGAACTAATTGATTAGCTCATGAACATTGTTTGACTAAGGTGCAAATAATGTCAAAGTTTGAATTCAATAACATCATTCAAAATTTTCTTTTTAAATATTTCATGAACAGTTCATTGGCCAAGGTGCAAACGATGTCCGAGTTTCAATGCAATATTATTATAAAAAATCTTCTTCATAAATATTTGGTTTCGAATAGAATACTTAGGAAGTACTGAAGTGTTGCCAAAAACCTGTCCTAAACCCTAGCATTTCCATGTCAACACAACATGCATGCAGTAAGGGATTAGAAACATTAAAAAAAAGCTGCTAATTTGTTAGATGAGCATTTTTCTGCAATAAGTTAATTAGTCTATTGACAAACATCCAGCAAAACTTTTTTTATTGTTAACCTAATGAGAAAATAAACTAGGTATGTCTTTACCCCCTTGCTATCAATATATACCATCTATATTCATACTTCCTAACAAAAGGAATGAATAACTTTTATGTAAAGCGGTGTCAGCGTTCATTAGGCCATTACATGTCACCAATTTAGAACATCACAGAACACTCACAGTTAGTTACAGGTCTCAAACACGCAACTCACTGCTTCAATTTTGCTGTGTTTAATAGCCTAGCCTCTCTGCCAATTTGACTGTTTGACTGCAATTGTGGCAGGTAGCCGCAATCAAACCCATACTCACAGCTCCAATCCTGTTATTATGAACTGTTACCACAGGGCCCAGTGGTGGGTTGATTTCTCTCATCCACTCACAAGCAGAGATGAATAACTTCATGAGTTGATAACTTTCCCTCATCCACTCACCAACAGAGATGAATAACTTTATGGGTTGATAAATTTCTCACATCCACTCACCAGCATTGAAGCTTCTCCATTCCCCTTAAGGGAATCCCACTCCTTGCTTGCAGCATTAAACTTTTTATGGATTTCTTGCAACATGAATTCATTTTCTGTGGGTTCCAGTTTGACACGACCAATAATTTCCTTGCATTTGATCCTCTTATTATCATCAACACAGGTGGGTAGGTTGACCCAGGCCCTTAGATCTTCCTTTGTTGAATTTATCTGGGCATCAACAAAATTGTTCCAGCCTCCTATATTAGTCTTCAGTTTGATTAATTCATCAATAAACTTCAATGTTTTAGAAAAAACTGATGCCATATTGTTCAGTTGCTCAAGTTTTCCTTGCAGAGCAGTTTGTATCTTGGTCCTGGAGTCCACATCGCCATTTTTCAGCAGCAAGTCGTCGATCAAGCTAATTTGGTGCTCAGCGTGGATGCCTTCAAGGCATGTGAAGCAGAGAAGTTCATGACACTCCACACAGATGTAGTCAACATCACTGCCATGATGAGGACACAGTGTCTCTAATTCCAAGGGTCGTTTGCTGCTCTCGCCTTTAGTGTTCATTAACACATAGTTGACCTGGATTCCATGTACAGAAATCTCCTTCCTACATTTAGGACATAGTCTGCTTTGAGGATTCTTCAGCAAACTAGAAATGCAAGTGTAACAATATGTATGGCCACAAGGCAGGAAGAGTGGCTTATGGTTATTCTCATCAAATTCTTCAGCACAAATTTCACATTCCAACAAACTGGCAGCCATGTTAAATGTTGTCAAGTAGTTCTAATTTTTAAACTACTATGTTAAAAAAATACACTCTTGAAATATTTCCAGACTAAAAACAGCAAAGTTTAATTTGAAGCTGCAAATTAAAGTAAAACCTGAAATTCAGAACATCATCAAAACAAACAGAAAGGAATTATAGATTGAGAAAATCAGTTCACTTCTCTCACCTGGATAAATATGTAATAAAAACAGCAATACAATGGGTTCTGAATCACTCCAAACTTCCAATCAAAACTCACTTAGAAACAATCTCAGTCATTCCAGACTTTGTCATTAATTCATCAACAACAACACTCACTTTATTAAACTTAAATCACTCAGCATGGTGGTTATTCAAATTCCACAACAAAAACTATCATGCACAAGTTTCAACTTGTAAGTTGTAGTTCAATATGTGGTCTTGATAAATGCAGGGGATCCTGCCATACTCAGCTTGGTCCCTAATTGACTATACTAAAATTATAATGGATCACACCATGACCAGATGGTTCCATTGACCATTGATGGGGTGACTTGGACCATTGACAGGGTGACTTGGACACCCCGTTAACCTAACCTAACTAACCCTTTGGTTCGTTAAGTGTATTTTTAGTATACCTTGGTTAGTTGGTTGGTTTAGTTGCCACTTGCCACATGTTTACTTGTGCTTCAGCTATTTACCTATATTGCACTGAAAGTCAAGATGAACATCACCAAAGAGATGGAAGGTCTTCATGATCCAGTTTCTCAAACCAAAAATTGTTCTTCCCCCACAAGGGGCGGAAGGTCTCAATTGTCCAGGCCGCTGAAGCTGGCATCTCCAAGAGACCAAGTAACAAGGGGGTGGCCTGCCAAAGACCACCACTGCCCTGTGGATGTAATGGACCATCATGATTCCTGCCTTCAGGAACGTAGCCTTCAGCACTTCAAGCCGTCCGTATCTAGGCCGTGGGTCGAACCAGCCCTCGGCCACTTGTCGGAGGACGATAAATTTTGGAACAGAACTATGCTATCTGAAACCCAACCTCAGATGCGCATGCGGTGAACGTAAAATAACGTAATTTAACAATGTTCAGAAGTCAGATTCGATCCACGGCCTGGTGGTGCACGGCAGGTTCTATGCGAAGCCAGAGGAAGACAAAGCCGAGTGGATCACGGCTGATTGGTGGATGTCCGGAGAGATCCAAGGCATTCGATTCAGGGCTTATTGGTGACAAAATTGGTGGTGCACGGCTGCGCTCCCTTAAAAAGGACATGTGACAAGGAGGGACAGGTGAAAAGCATCAGAAACTAAGACACTCGAACAAGAGGTCGCTTACACGGGACGTCGGCCACCCGCACGAGAGAGACAGATAAGGGAAATGTAAGGAATCCTACCTACATAATAACTTAATGTAAGGAATCCTACCTACATAATAACTTATTGTAAGAAATCCTACCTACATAATAACTTAATGTAAGGAATCCTACCTGCATAATAACTTAATGTAAGGAGTCCTACCTACATAATAGCTTAACCCCACAACTGAGACCTGCAGTCAGACACCGCGAACTCAGCAGTGGGGCGCTCAGGAACAATCCCCCTGGGAATGCAAGATCCCATAGGACTTCTGACGAGCACAGACACGCGTCAGAAGTCCCCCTGAGGGGTTGTTAACCCGGGTGTAAATATCATACCCAGGTATGAATTGTTAACCTGGGTCTTAAACTTTACTCCAAAAATCAGTTTTTGCCCTAAATTTCAAGGCGCGTCCTTTTGCTGTATCGAACCCTGACAGTAATTTCACACTTTAACTCTGACCGTAATTTCAAACCTCAACCCTGACCGTAATTACAACTTTAACCCTGACCGTAATTTCAAACCTTAACTCTGACCATAATTTCAAACCTCAACCCTAACCGTAATTTAAACCTTAACTCTAACCGTAATTTCAAACCTCAACCCGGACCCTAATTAGAAACCTGAACTCTGACCATAATTAAACATAAACTCGGACCGTAATCCGTAAACCAAAACCCGGACCGTAATTACAAACCTAAACCCTGACCGTAATTACAAACCTAAACCCTGACCGTAATTACAAACCTCAACCCTGACCGTAATCTGAAAACAAAAACCCTGACCGTAATTTGTAAGCAGCAAACGCAGGGTTTATAAGGATATACAAGGTAAATAAAGATACACATGAACGTATAAGAGGTTTATTTGCAGCCCAACCCCCCATGGGGTCGAGGGAGGGACGAAGGGGGGAGTAGTGGGGGGGATCACTTGGCGGGGGTGGCGGCGAGCTTCTTAGCGATGGCCTTCTTCCGGAGCTGTTCCTTGTTGCTGCGGGGGACCTGGGGGAGAGGGGGAGAGATGGTGCTGGGTGCGAAAGGGGGGGCAGTGAGTGAGATGCAGGATGGGGGGGGGTAGAGGGTGGAGGAGGAGAGGTGGCAGGTACGTTTCTAGGCAAATACTCTGATAATTGAATTATTTAAATTTAATTAAATACAAGGAAAGTAAGTGGGGGGTATAATGGGAGAGGTGTGTAGCTGTGTGTATCACCCGAGCCACACATAACACCCTGTATAGTTACACAATATTTGTATACTTGGGCACAGAATGCTCCTATAAATATTACACAATAAGGAAACGGAGTACATACATGTCTGGATGTGTATGGGGTATATATACACGCTCTGTACTGTATTAACGTGTGTTGCAGCGAAGTACACAAGAGTACACAATTGTATGTGAGCAGCACTCTCTAGTATACAAGTGTACACAATAATAAACAACACAGCACACACAACACAGCACACAGCACAGGGCCTCACCTTGCTGGCGGGGGAGCGCTTGGCGGCGGCGACTTTAGGGGCGGCGGGACGAGGCTTTGGCTGCAGGGAGAGAGACTAGTGACTGCTGGTGACTAGTGGTGACACAACTAGTGACACAACTAGAGACTAGTGACTGGTGGTGACTAATGACTGCTGGTGACTAGACTAGTGACTAGAGAGTAGTGACACAACCAGAGACTAGTGACACAACTAGAGACTTATGACTGGTGGTGACTAGTGACACAACTAGAGACTAGAGACTAGTGACACAACTAGAGACTAGTAACACAACTAGAGATAGTGACACAACTAGAGACTAGTGACACAACTAGAGACTAGTGACACAACTAGCAAATTACGGACCAGGCAATAAGTCCAGACGAAGCTATGCAGGAGCATATGTTCAGTCCTAAATTGCCTAGCAAATTACGGACCAGGCAATAAGTCCAGCAGCTATCTCAATCAATCGTCAGTTATGGGTTCCAAAGGCCGGATCCCTTGTGAATCAAGTCACGAAAAGTTCAAGAATCGGCACCATCCATGGGCCTATTTCTTCAGCGCCGACACTTCTATTCTATTCTAATGAGAGCCTTGGAGATAGTGCCTGAACAGATACATGGGCAAAATTAACTGTTTCCTGATTGGTCCTAATTTTGGCTTAGATATATGATTCCTAGCAACAGGATTGTCAAGGTTGACCTGCGCATGGCGCCAGCAAACAGGTTTCGCGGCTGCAACCGACCGTTGGCGTTTGGCATCACTTTCTCCATAGAATATTACAGAGTTATTACTAATATTAAGTTCACTATAAAACCAGAAACACGATTTAATGGATCTTTCTGAATTTAAATTCTTTAAACTGTCGTAATACCGTGTTCACAAATTAACCAACCAAACTAGTAGCAACAGCGATGCTGAGATCTTACTTCCAGTTTTCATAGAACATTTTCACAAACAAAAGTTTTATTAGGTTTAAAATTGCCATTTATTCATAACTTCCAAATTTATGTAGTATAGTTTTGAGTGACCGAAGCCGTTTCATGCTTCAAGTAATCTATTGCGATGACACTCAAGTCCTAAAGCCTCATTCCTGCTCCTTGAATAGATTTTCTTATGACGGAAGAATTAGCAGTTTCATGAGAGGACTCAAGATGACATGCGATCTGCTTTGGCACTATAACTAAGACTCGTGTCCCCAATGAAGCATTTGATACGTTTGATAATGCCGTCTGTTTTATTACGTGCATCAAGAAGCCATCACGTCTCAGTACACTGTTAGAAAAATTACCGTTGACGGTATACCGGCGTTTCAGTGGCCGGTCGGCACGTGAAAAGAAACACCGTGTCGCCGTTTTCATTCTAATTTAACACTAGAAATCCGTAAAACATCTGATAAAAACGGCGAAACAGTTTATTTTCAAGGGGCGACCGGCCACTAGAACGCCAGTGGGTTCGTCTTTTCACAGTTTTTTCTAACAGTATAGTGTGATATGCACCTCAGACATCATCAAGCACGTGTTCATGGTGTGATCATCGTACGATATGATGTCCGAGGGACATTGCCGCTTCTCCGTTCGGCATCTCGCGCAGCTGCAGTCTAAGTGCGTCTGGGTTTTCTCAGGATATCAATTTGTAATCAAGGATATCAATCAATACTCTCACTTTTGGGATATTTGTACTGCAGCATCTTGCTGCTATTTGAAATAAAGACATTAACGCGTTAATTTATTTTTAGTTTGGGGCTGACAAAACAAATTCAACATTGTCGACAGCCATAATTACGAGAACGCAGGTTTCACTCTTCAGCTTAATTCTGTCGGTGTCGCATATGCAAGGCCATTTGACAAAAAATTGCTTGAAAAGCAAAAAGTCTTTAGTTCATTGGTTTAGAATGTACTATAAAATATAAAAATGCAATGGAATGTTTAACACAACCACAGACGACCACTAAATAGTCACTTTTTTGAGCTACCTAGCAACAGGTGCCTCCTCGAATATAAATATAATATAAATCCTTTTAATATTCGAGGAAATAATAATATAAATCCTTTTAATATTCGAGGAAATAATAATATAAATCCTTTTAATATTCGAGNTTAAGGCAAGACCCACGCCTTCATGTCTTTCCAGTCCTACGCTCCACAGAGCTGGCTAGGCTCTTCGTTTTGGTCATGTCTTAAGGCAAGACCCACGCCTTCATGTCTTTCCAGTCCTACGCTCCACAGAGCTGGCTAGGCTCTTCGTTTTGGTCATGTCTTAAGGCAAGACCCACGCCTTCATGTCTTTCCAGTCCTACGCTCCACAGAGCTGGCTAGGCTCTTCGTTTTGGTCATGTCTTAAGGCAAGACCCACGCCTTCATGTCTTTCCAGTCCTACGCTCCACAGAGCTGGCTAGGCTCTTCGTTTTGGTCATGTCTTAGGGAGTGTGGCAATAGCCAGACTATAGGCTCCACTATGCTCAGAAACTCGCTGTAAGCAGCAAAGTCCCATCAGAGATAGCATAGAATAGCTGAGCATCAAGAACTATGCGACGCAGGTAAGTCCCTTCCTGCAAGGTTGTGCCTCCCACGGACACGCAGCTGGTCGCGAAGAGTGGCAGTGAATTAACAGTACTTGAAATACAGGTCACTAGGACTGATAATCAGTAGTGTAATATTTTAGATAATATGCAATTTGTTTGTTACAAAATGCTTCCAAAACACAATAACACAACTAAATTATTCGCACGGAAATGGTCACCACGTAAAAATAGTCAGCGACCAGTAACAGTAAGAAAAGAGCTCATTTAAAGCACCACATGTGTGAGGGGACATGCTAGCTTCACGCTCACTACACATGAGCTGCCACACCCACGCTTCAAGTAGGCTTACAGAGCCAGCAATATCTTCTCAAATAAGTTCTTCTTCTAAGCCTTGTTGACACAATATATACCTACAGCATAAGAATTCTATTCTGAATCTCGACACACTCAAAATCACTAGGTCAGTGAAACCTGGCTTCGCTGATTCAGTCGCTGATTGGTCTCGTGATTTGGCCGGCCTTTCAGTGGTCGCGGATCTTGATATCAAATTACAAATACATCAATATTTGTTCTACAAAAAACGGAACAAAGACCGTAAAAATTATAAATACATTCGATCAAAAAGGGCTGGGGGTGTGAACTGAGTGGTGGTTAGGGGGTAAGTATTGAGTCTGTCTCTTNCTGTGAGGAGAGAATTGGGTGGCAACTGAGAGATAAGGACTGAGTTGCAGCTGGGGGTGAGATCTCAGTGGTGGCTGGGAGTTGAGAACTTAGTGGGGGCTGGGGGTGAGAACTGAGTGGGGGCTGTGGGTGAGAATTGAGTGGGGGCTGGGGGTGTGAACTGAGTGGGGGCTGTGGGTGTGAACTGAGTGGGGGTTGGGGGTTAAGAAGTGAGTGACAACTGGGGGGAAGTCCTTCAGCTGAAGGACGCACGGCTCGGAGGACAACTCTTGGGTTGGGCTTGCACGAGGATCCCTTGTTGGAATCAGCATCGTTGATTTTCTGCAATGTGATAACATATAATATAATATCGAAATATACAAATAATATAATATCGAAATGTCTAGCACCTGCAATGTAATAACAAATAGAATTTTATTGTTCAATTGTATTTGAAGCTCAAAAATGATGTTTGTATATCTTAGGCAAATATGCTAATTATTTGTCAAAATGTAACAAACAAGTTTTGTGTAAATCAGTCTAACTCTGATGTATAAAATAATTAGTGGCTCTCTTACAGCTTTTATAAATATTACATAAAATTACTTGTGGCTCTTCTTATGCCTGTAACACCATTAAATCATTTGTTAGTTTGAAGTAGATGGAAAAACAATTAATTTGAGTATATCTACAGGTCCTGTCACAATATGAAATATGTCATGTTGGCAACAGTTGAGTTAGTTATAGAATAGAAAAGAAATGATTGCACTGAAGAAATAGGCCCATGGCTCCTTGCCGATTCTAGTACTTCTTGTGACTTGATTCCACAAGGGATCCAGCCTTCTGAACCCTATCTTTCTATATCTTACAATTGTTTGAGATAGCTGCTGGACGTATTGCAAGGCTCATAAAGTGCTAGGCATTACAAGATTGAACATATGCTCCTGCATAGCTTTGTCTAGCCTAATCTTGAAGGCGTTCATACTCGGAGCGTCAACGATGCTATCAGGGATGTTCTTCCACATGTCGGTGACTCAGAGCGAGAAAAAATATCGTCACATGGAAGTGTTACAATGGAGTTTTTTTAGTTTATAGCATGGCCCCTGGTGTTGGTTCTTGTTTCAAATTCTAGTAATCCTTCTGAGAACTTGTATAAACCATGAGTTATAATAATAGGTTATGAGCCACATGAGTTATAATAATAAGCTGAGAGAGCCACATGAGTTATAATAATATAGTTATAGTTTATGAGTTGTTCATGGACAAGCTGCTGGCTCTCTCAAATTACATGATGCTCTTAACAACTGCAATCATTTCTAAATTAAACTAGAACAGCACACAAAATTTAATTTTTAAACTGAACTAATTCATTAGCTCAGGGACATTGTTTGACTAAGGTGAAAATGATGTCAAAGCTTGAATTCACTAACCTCATCCAAAATTTTCTTTTTAAATATTTCATGAACAGTTCATTGGCCAAGGTGCAAAAGATATCCAAGTTTCAATGCAATATTATTATAAAAAATCTTCTTCATAAATATTTGGTTTTGAATAAAATACTTAGGAAGTACTAAAGTGTTGCCAAAAACCAATCCTGTTATTCTGAACTGTTACCACAGGGCCCAGTGGTGGGTTGATTTCTCTCATCCACTCACCAGCAGAGATGAATAATTTTATGGGTTGATATATTTCCTTCATCCACTCACCAGCAGAGATGAATAACTTTATGGGTTGATAAATTTCCCTCATCCACTCACCAGCATTGAAGCTTCTCCATTCCCCTTAAGGGAATCCCACTCCTTGCTTGCAGCATTAAACTTTTTACGGATTCCTTGCAACATGAATTCATTTTCTGTGGGTTCCAGTTTGACACGACCAATAATCTCCTTGCATTTGATCCTCTTATTATCATCAACACAGGTGGGTAGGTTGACCCAGGCCCTTAGATCTTCCTTTGTTGAATTTATCTGGGCATCAACAAAACTGTTCCAGCCTTCTATATTAGTCTTCAGTTTATTTAATTCATCAATAAACTTCAATGTTTTAGAAAACACTGATGCCATATTGTTCAGTTGCTCAAGTTTTCCTTGCAGAGCAGTTTGTATCTTGGTCCTGGAGTCCACATCACCATTTTTTTTCAGCAGCAAGTCGTCGATCAAGCTAATTTGATGCTCGGCATGGATGCCTTCAAGGCATCCAAAGCAGAGGAGTGAATGACAGTCCACACAGATGTAGTCAACATTACTGCCATGATGAGGACACAGTGTCTCCAATTCCAAGGGTCGTTTGCTGCTCTCGCCTTTTGCGTTCATTAACACATAGTTGACCTGGATTCCTTGTACAGAAATCTCCTTCCTACATTTAGGACATAGTCTGCTTTGAGGATTTTTCAGCAAACTAGAAATGCAAGTGGAACAATAGGTATGGCCACAAGGCAGGAAGAGTGGCCTGTGGTTCTTCTCATCAAATTCTTCAGTGCAAATTTCACATTCCAACAAACTGGCAGCCATGTTGAATGTTGTTGAGTAGTTCTATTTTTCTTAAACAACTATGTTAACACTCTTGAAATATTTCCAGACTAAAATAAGCAAAGTTTTAATTTGAAGCTGCAAATTAAAGTAAAACCTGAAAATCAGAACATCATCAAAACAAACAGAAAGGAATTATAGATATAGATTGAGAAAATCAGTTCACTTCTCTCACAAGGAAAAATATGTAATAAAAACAGCAATACAATGGGTTCTGAATCATTCCAAACTTCCAATTATAACTCACTTAAAAACAATCTCAGTCATTCCAGACTTTGTCATTAATTCATCAACAACAACACTCACTTTATTAAACTTAAATCACTCAGCATGTTGGTTATTCAAATTCCACAACAAAAACTATCATGCCCAAGTTTCAACTTGGGTTCATATGTGGCCCTGATAAGTGCAGGGGATCATGCCATACTCAGCTTGGTCCCTAATTGACTATACTAAAATTATAATGGATCAGACAATGATCAGATGGCATTAGTATAGTATAGTACAGACCTATCAACAATTCTCAACACTGTAGAATATTCACAGCTTGTTGCGGGTCTCAAACACGCAACTCACTTCTCCAATTTTGCTGTGCTTAACCAACAAGCCTCCTTGCTGATTAGACCAGAACTTTTGCAGGGAGCTGGGATCAAACCCACAACTTTCTGCTCCAGTCTTGGTTGTTACCTGTAACCACTAGGCCACCATGCCCAGATTTAGATTAGTTTTATCTCCGGCATTTTTCCTCAATAGTCTTCATTTCTCATTTACATTTATTTTATTTATAGTATCAACTATCAGTAATTGAGATACAAATAAAACTTACAAGAAAATGTTTTAGTCTCTTGTTTCTTGCAGTAAATCAAATACAACCATTTTATCCAAGAGAAAGACAACCTAAAGCAAAGATTATTTTGCCAGGGCTTCACTGTAAAATGGGGTGACTTGGACCATTGATGGGGTGACTTGGACCATTGATGGGGTGACTTGGACCATTGATGGGGTGACTTGGACCATTGATGGGGTGACTTGGGCCATTGATGAGGTGACTTGGACTATTGACAGGGTGACTTGAACACCCCATTAACCTAACCTAACTAACCCTTTGGATTAGTTAGGTTGGTTAGTTTAGTTTAACTAACCTTGGATGCTTGGTTAGTTGGTTGGTTTAGTTGCCATATCAACATGTTTACTAGCGCTTCAGCTATTTACCTATATTGCACTGAAAGTCAAGATGAACATCACCAAAGAGATGGAAGGTCTCCATCATGATCCAGTTTCTCAAACCAAAAATTGTTCATCCCCCACAAGGGGCGGAAGGTCTCAATTGTTCAGCCTGCTGAAGCTGGCATCTCAAAGAGACCAAGTAACATGGGGGTTGCCTGCCGAAGACCACCACTGCCCTGGATGTAATGGACCATCATGATTCCTGCCTTCCGGAACATAGCCTTCAACACTTCAAGCCGTCCGTATCTAGGCCGTGGGTCGAACCAGCCCTCGGACGAACGCCACTTGTCGAAGGACGATAAATTTTGGAACAGAACTATGCTATCTGAAACCTAACCTCAGATGCGGTGAACGTAATATTACGCAATTTAACTATGCCCGGAGGTCAGATTCGATCCGTGGCCTGGTGGTGCACGGCAGGTTCTATGCAAAGCAGGAGGAAGACAAAGCCGAGTGGTTCGCGGCTGATTGGTGGATGTCTGGAGAGATCCAAGGCGTTTGATTCAGGGATTATTGGTGCACAAAATTGGTGGTGCACGGCTGCACTCCCGTAACATGGAAGTACATGTGACAAGGAGGGACAAGTGAAAAGCAACAGAAACTAAGACACTCTAACAAGAGGTCGCTTACAAGGGACGTCGGCCGCCCGCACGAGAGAGACAGATCAAGGAAATGTAAGGAATCCTACCTACATAATAACTTAATGCAAGGATTCTTACCTGCATAATAACTTAATGCAAGGATTCCTACCTGCATAATAACTTGATGAAAGGAATCCTACCTACATAATAACTTAATGCAAGGATTCCTACCTACCTGCATAATAACTTAATGTAAGGAATCCTACCTGCATAATAACTTGATGTAAGGAATCCTACCTATATAATAACTTAATGCAAGGATTCCTACCTGGGGCTGCATTATCAAAACTTCGTAACTTTTTGTACTTCCGACAAAAAAGTTACGTAGTACGTAAGTACACCTTAATTTTGGCATTATCAAAATATTCGTACGTAAGACTTAGCTAAAAGCGTATTATCAAAACCATCTGGCCAACTGACCAATCAGAGGCTTTGGATTTGTTTACATTCTGTGAACTTTGATGGCGGGAATCAATGCCTTCGATGGTATCGACTATGGAATGGTGTCAGTCGGTATTGAGTCGGTATTGCTCCTTGTTGGCCCAGAAAAAGCCGTTTTAAAATAGTTGTGAACTCTTTTTAATAAACAGCGTGAGTTGAAGAAGAAATCTGTGTACGGAGCTAAAAATTATGGTTGGCAGAGATATAAAGTACCGACTAAAAAGAATGAATGATGAGTGTTGGGCACGAAAGATGTACCTGTGGAACATGAGGGTGAGTAAATGGAAACGTAAGCGTCAACTGCGTCATGCACTAGTACGCAAATGTGACTTGAATGAGATATGGGTCTACCCAGTACCCAGTACCAGTACCCAGTGCATAAGGGTACTCACACAGTGAAAGCAGGTTGCCAGCGTGCTGGTTACCTGCTGAGGCTGGCACCTGAAAATCGAGGAAATTCTTGGAAATTCTTGTGAATTTTTAGGGAAATTCTTGTGGCAGGTTGGAGCAGGTTGACCGCGCGGCCCCCCGGGCAAACCTGCTTTCCCTGTGTGCGTACCCTAACAGAATAAGCGATGAATGGTTAATGATTGTACAGGTTGTAACTGGAATAGAATGGGATGTCAAAGAATGGAAGAAATAGGTTGAAAAGAGAGTGAGAACATGTGATTTAAGACTGACCTGACTGATACCTAGTGTAAAGCGTTTTTTGAAGGCTGCATGGAGAAGGAGGCTGGAGGGAGAGGAGAAGGCTGGTGACTGGTGTCTGGTGAGAATAGAGGCAGCCGGGTGGGAGGGTGTAAAGAAGAAAGCAAATAAGGAAAGAAAAAATTGTAATAGTAGTACAATAAAAAGTGAAAAAAGTATTATCTAGTGTTTGGCAGCTAACAATGTTATGATTATGATACAAATGTACAAAAGTAACAAAACTACTGTGCATTGTGCAATGAATTGGAACTAGCCCAACCAACAGAAAAACTTTTCTATTAAAATTATTCTCCCTTTCCTCTATTGTCACTGTCATTTTCACTTCATTAGTCTATTAGATATTCTTATTTGTATAATTAGCTTACCCTTAAACTATCAAGGCTGGACATCCCTGAAGATCATTTCAGTATCACGAAGCCCCAAATAAACCTAATAAAGTTGATTTCTCTGCTGTGTTATGTTTCAGGCCAGTCTTTATTCAATTATGGAACAACCAAATTCTAGTAAACGCCGACCAAATTTCAGCAATGAAGAAACAATAGCTCTAGCAACAGCAGTCAAGGAGAGGCAAGCAATACCTATTGCTTGGCAAATTTGAAAATAATGTTACTGCAAAAATCAAAGCAGTGCAGTGGCAAGAAGTCACAGATAGTGTCAATGCGGTATCTTTTGTAAAAAGATGTGCACCTGAGGTACATAAGAAATTTTACGACCTCAGAACAAACTTGAAAAAAAAGTGGCAGCTGATAACAAGCACAGTGGAAAAACCGGTAAGTACATTTATACTTTAATAATGTAATGCTCATTTCCATCAATAATATTGTTTGAACTTGTAAGTTGTAACACTTCCATAGTTTCTAATATCTACCCTCCATTCTAATGCTTTACACCATCTTTTACCTCATTAGTAGACATGATTTACTTGTCAGACAGGAGATTTATTTATGCCTATTTTAGATAGTGCAAGGTTGGATTCTTATATGAATTTATGATGCCACATAATCTTCAACAATACTTGAAGCATATTTTCATTCTCCAAGCATGTTTTAAGCATTCTGTTCTGCAAATAGAAGACAATTCAGTAGAAAGCTGTGTGCAATTAAAGTCACTGTCACTCCATAATTTCATATCAGAGGTATCAGTTACACCCAGTTGCTCATTATTACTTGCCCTATATCTTTATAAAAAATAACTGTTATTATATTTTCCTAAATAATACTACCATAGATCGAATGAACTCTGCAGAAGCCACCTCAAAGTCTAAATTTTATTGTTCATGAAATTTGGCTGTTTGGATTTAAAACTGCCCAAGCTCATAAACAATTTAACAGTGCCTATGGCCATTGCCTAATTTTCTTTGGTTATGTTGAGTAGAGTTGCTCATTTTCACCAATTTCTTTCATAAATCACTTGTATTGAATTTTTTATCAAGAGTTTCTTGAAAAGTCTCATGACTATTCAGTTTCTATCTATTACTCATGTTTTAGCAATAAAAAATCTCACAACATTACAGAGAATTTTTTTGTTCCAAAATGTTACTGGCACCGTTTTAATGAATCCTGCACTGGAGCTACACACTTGTGGAAAATAACATAAAGTGTAGTAACAATTTTCCTTGAGTTATCATTCTTCTTCTGATCTTATCATCCAGGTGGAGGGCCTGCTATGAACCTTCAGCTACAATATGTAGCTGACATAATAACTGCAAATTTGTACTGTTCATGCCAGAAAGTTGAGGTTAGTTTCTATCAGATGGTTTTCATTGAAGGTCGGCAACATAAGAGTTGTAGACTAACCCTATCCAATCAAAATAATTCGATATTAGAATATTTATGTTGAAAGAATGAAGAAGAAAGAAATCTGTGTAACTGTATGGATCTAAAAAATGGTTGGCTGGTCAACCTCCATATAATTTTGAATCAAAAAGGCATGAAGATATTGTTTCAGTAAATGATCATAAAACTCTAGGAGACTAGGATATGACTCTAGGTCTAGGATCAACATAAAACTCTAGGATCAACATTTGCTTAGAAAATATAACTTAAAAGGAAAACAAAATCAGTTTCTGGGATTAACTCAATTGAATTTTTTTCCAATAGCACTGTTTAGCACGATCACATTATTCACACATTTTGATCGCGCAAATGTTGCACGATCAAGTAGTGGAGATATCACAAGTAGAGCCATCATTCTATGCGTGTATAATCTGCGCTGTCGGATTATTGACAAAATTCTATCACAAGTCAAGGTGTTGCTACTTGCTTGTGAATCAATAGTTTCATATCGCTTCAGCAGACACTCTAAACTTGTGGGGAACTTCACTTACGACATCTCCGAGCAGGCGTACAGTTACATTACTTATCTTCCCGCACGAATGTTTTGATAATACCACCTCTAGAGTTACGTCATCAAGTCAGCACCTACGCCTCTCGTAAGTCAATTTTGCGTACTTACGAAGTTTTGATAATACGGCCCCAGGTCTATACCCCAAGAGGGACTGGCAGGACTTAACTTTCACGATCGAAGAACGGATTGGGGGGCAATTTGGAATGAAATTGACAAAATCGATTGGAGAGCGGAGTTTCACGAGATGAATGCTGAGGAAATCTATACAAAACTGTGTGAGAAACTAGCACAGGTATGTGTGCGTCATACACCAAGAAAAACAGGGCCTAAAGTCCGCAGCATTCCGAGAGACAGACGAATCCTTATGAGAAAACGCAAGCGGTTAAATAAACAAATAGCTGAATCCACTAGTGATACAAGAAGACAGAGGCTAGTAAATTTGCACAAGAAAATTGAACTCAGGCTGCAGGTCTTGCACAGGATGGAAGAACAAGCCGCGGAAGAGCGAGTGGTTGAGGTCATCAAAGAGAACCCCAAGTATTTTTTTAAATATGCTCAGTCCAAGGCTAAAATAAAGACGCCAGTAGGCCCGCTTAAGGAAAACAAAGTCATTGTCGGAGATGACCAGGGCATGTGTGAGCTACTGGGATCTCAGTTTGAATCAGTGTTCAGTAACCCCCGCTACTCAAGGGAGGAGAATGAAATTGAAGTTCTCCAGGAGCTGCCAGGCGGTAGAGAGATTGATGCATTTAACTGTCTTGGCAGCATTTTAGTTACTGAATTAAACTTGGCTTGAATGGAATTTAATCATTACCTCTGTTCTGAAACGATATGAAACAAAAGGATGCATTGAGTAAGAAAATTGGTTAATGACACAGATGGGTTGAGTGGAGAAAAAGCAATAATGCCTTCCGGCAACAATATTCCATTTCTTTAACCAGTGAACTCCAAATCCCAGCCATAAAGCCACAAACTCATCTTCAAAGTCCCTTACATATGTTACCGTAAAACTCTACTTTTACTCTAGAAACAGAAACAATAACATTTGCCTTTACATTATAGGCAACTGAACACATAATTAGGCAGTCTGACATGACTGCAACTATGCAATCTCCAACAAAACATTTTGGGCTGACTTGCTGTACAGGATATTTTGGAGGGAGCATGGTACCAACTTGCCAGGGTGCACACGGTGCAAGCATGAAGCAGCGTCACCAATAAATGGATTTTTAGGTCTAAGTGTTGCCAGCCATTTTCAAGATCCATTATCAGGTAATTTTCAATAAGAAAATGCTGCTAACAACTTTGATAGTACCTATATCCCTTACTCTCCACGCAGCGCATTACGTATAACTTAACACGTATAACTCGGCAGTTATCTGGAAGCCAGATGCGTGGAAACGTCTATTGAGAGAGCGGCAAAGTAGAGTGAGGCTTGACACAATTCTGCCACCCAGATCGCCAAGAGATGGCAATCTGCTCATATCAACAAAGCTATTTTAGATTTCAACTATTTTACAATCACAAATAGTTGGCCAAAGACTGGCAAATATCTAAAATACAATAATTTTAATCCAAATGTGTCAGCAAGATTTTCTGAAGGCATAAATTTTGCTGCTGATGAGTCACCAAAGATCTTGCGATATTTGCCCAATGACATCCACTGGCCACTTTCTGCACCCTGGCCCCTTGGTACTAAGTAGCCTACTGCCTAGTAGCTACTGTGTGGGACAGGCCCGAACAGCGGAAATTAAAAATTTTATGAAATGACACTTTTTTTAACTGCAATTTCTTCTATCAAACAAAAATACATGACATTAGATCTGCAAGATTTCATACCTACTGAAATTATATGATTTTAGAAGTGGGTTTTAGAGCTGCAATATTTCAGAAAAAAGTAGGACTAGTTCCAACTAGTCAGCCATTGAATTGAAGCAATTGAGAAAAGGCCATACAAATGGGTGAAATTGGCTAGTTTCACACTTTCACATGTATTTCTATTGGGTCCACAAATCACAAGTGCCAGGTGGCAGTTTCTGCCACTGGGCACTTGGTTTAGGGATAGCAGTAGGACTGGAATATTAGGGATATCCATGGAATATTAGGGATAGGACTGTTCCATTTTTTCTTTTTCAAATTTGAGTCTGAACTTGGTAATAAATCCAAGGTATTTTTATTTTTTAGCATCTACGGTACTGTGTTAATTCATAAAAATACAGATAAGCTTAATAAATCATTAAAATGAGGGACAAAATCTTAAATTTCCATCTGAATTTCCATTTCCCAGGATGGCGGAAAACAACTTCAAAATTCAGTGACACTGTCGCACATAAATGTAAACAAACCAGTTAATATCTAAAGTTAATTTCTAAACATATGATATACTTCATCACACCTGTCATTTAACTGTTCTTCAGTCCCGGGAAGAGGATGAACAACAAAATGTAGAGAACTCATCTTGAAATTCTTTTCACGTTCATGAGAGAAAACACCGAGTCTCGAGAGAAGGCCACAATTCAAGTTTCGTAACGGACTAAGTTACAGCTGACATTCCGCCATCTTTTTCAGATCTTTTATTGTTTACGATGTTGCCAGATGCACCGCAAAATAACATATAACATAACATAACATAGGTCATAGTGATCTCGGCGCTGAAGAGTAGGCCTGATGTGGCCTGTCGCCGATTCTTTTCCTTTTCGTGCCTTGTTCACAGAAGATCTAAACTCGTGTCATTTGACCGGATATTTTCAAGACTGACGATAGTTTGAACTTTGAAGTAGCTACTAGACTTCCACCGGGTTCGATATGGTGCTAGTGTTGATCGCAACTTTGGCAGCCGTGTCGCCGGGGTTATCGTTCGGCTGCCTCAACTCCGTTGGCTGAATAACAAGGTTGATGAGTTTCTTCACATTTGTCGCTCGCACTCACTAGATGTCGTCTTCCTGCCCGAAACCTTGCGACGAATTACGTACCGTATTAACTACGAATTAGAAGCTATGGTATGCTACTTAGGATTTGTATGCACAAATTACTCTCGGATACTAGGGACCGTATTAGCTACGAATTAGTAGCTACCGTATGCTACTTAGGATTTGTATGCACAAATTATTCTCGGACACTAGGGACGCTTGTTGGTGACAGGTTGCCAGATCGTGGTGGGATAAAACGGTTAAATTAGCTCACAAAATAAGCCAAAAAGGCCAACAAAATCGATATTTACTAGTAAATTTTGAATTCGAGCAACACAATTAATTATTTGTGATATGAAAAATCCAATATGATTCAGACTCTCATAGATTTTTGCTCGTAAACGTAATTTCGAAAAAGCCAAATCGTCCAATTGGGCCTGAAAAAGGCCCATCTGGCAACCCTGGACCGTGATGGCAGCTGCTCCAGATAAAAAAAAAACAGTTTACGACAACTTCTGAAATCTTCATTATAATGAAAAAAATGTAATCATTTTTATTTAATTACATAGAATGAGATTCTAATTTACATGTCCACACCGAATTTATGACGCGCTTAATAGCTTAATTCGATGTGATAATAGCAAAGAAATGCGCCAAATCGTCGCGTCGTTTTTGCTTGAGTTTCTCTTCGAAAACATTTAAGAGACAATACGCGACCAAAATTCGTTTTATTATTTAAAATTCTTCCCCGTGCCAATTTCACGCTAGATTTAAAATGTTAATTCTTAAAATAACTTAATTATGAAATAAAACAGTCCTTATTTGAAGCCCTAAGGCCGAATGCTGTCAATATCTAAAGATCATCAGGAATAGCAGTATATCAGAATCTTCAATTCGAAATTCAGATATTCGTATCGACGATTCGATTTTTTGCCGTCCCTTTGGGGCCTCATGATATTGAAAAATATTAATCTATGAGAGAACAGTGTAATTTTGTCCCAATAGCTATTCTAGATAAATAAAATAATTCGGTTAAGTTAGGTTAGGTCTTTTTAACGAATAAAAATATTATACTATGAGAAAACAATGTATTTTTATGCAAAGAGCGAAGCCAAATAAATCGTTCTCACATCTTCATTTATTGTATTAGTCACCCCTGCAAGCGGCCCTCCACCCCTATCCCCCTGCCCATATTTTACCCCAGTTTGGGGTATAAATTTATAAACAGGGAATAAAACGAACGATTTTCTCCCCATTTTATTGCACGCTAATAATACGGGCGTTGAAAACTGACTTAAAACGCGTGTAAATTTGACAGCAGTTGGTCTGTCAACCTCAGTTGCTGTCAACGCGCTGTCAACATGGACAGAATAACTAAGCATTTTAACAGGCAGGCTGCTCCTGTCAACAGTCAGCAGGCTGCTCCTGTCAACAGTCAGCAGGCTGTTCCTGTCAACAGTCAGCAGGCTGCTGCTCCTGTCAACAGTCAGCAGGCTGCTGCTCCTGTCAACAGTCAGCAGGCTTCTGCTCCTGTCAACATTCTACACACCCACCCGCCACCCACCAGTTGCCACACCACCCAACAGTTGCCACACCACCCACCAGTTGCCACACGCCACCCACCAGTTGCCACACGTCACCCACCAGTTGCCACACGCCACCCACCAGTTGCCACACACCACCCACCAGTTGCCACACGCCACCCACCAGTTGCCACACGTCACCCACCAGTTGCCACACGCCACCCACCAGTTGCCACACGCCACCCACCAGTTGCCACACACCACCCACCAGTTGCCACACGCCACCCACCAGTTGCCATACACCACCCACCAGTTGCCACACACCACCCACCAGTTGCCACACACCACCCGCCGCTACCCGCCACCCATCATTATATTCTAACAGCACACCTACTTAATTCGCTAATTATTAGCGCATTAAGCAAAATATTATGAAATTATCAATACTTAATAGGAGTCTCCCAAGGGTCGCCCGGGAGTCTCCCAAGGGTCGCCCAGGAGTCCCCCAAGAGTCGCCCAGGAGTCTCCCAAGGGTCGCCCAGAAGTCTCCCAAGGGTCGCCCAGGAGTCTAGAGTCTCCCAAGGGTCGCCCAGGAGTCTCCCAAGGGTCGCCCAGGAGTCTCCCAAGGGTCGCCCAGGAGTCTCCCAAGGGTCGCCCAGGAGTCGCCCAAAGGTCGCCCAGGAGTCCCCCAAGAGTCGCCCAGGAGTCTCCCAGGAGTCTCCCAAGAGTCGCCCAGGAGTCTCCCAGGAGTCTCCCAAGAGTCGCCCAGGAGTCGCCCAGGAGTCGCCCAGGAGTCTCCCAAGGGTCACCCAGGAGTCACCCAATAAACGGCTAATTGTAGTGGTACGCGTACACTCAAACAAATGAGTGCGTCATAATGCACAAATAGTGACACACTTTCTATCCCATAGCATCAGAGCGGACGTAGCACTGATACAACCTCTTTTGCCGGTCCAAACTGGGTCAGGTTGACCCACATGACAAGGAGCAAAAAGTGTATCGATAGTTGGACAAATTCTCATTCATTTCAATGACTGCACTGAAGTGTACTCGGCGACTGTACAAGACCTAAAATTAGTACACAATTACTAACAATACATACTGTGCTGCTGGTTGAACATTACAAATTTAATTGCAATTGTTAATTAATGGAATTATAGGAGCTATAGTCGCCTAGGAGTCGTTCAAGGGTCGCCCAGGAGTCTCCTTAGAGTCGCCCAGTAATCTCCTAAAAGTCGCTCAGGGGTCGCCCGGGAGTCTCCCAAGGGTCGCCCAGGAGTTTCTCAAGGGTCGCCCAGGAGTCTCCTAAAGGTCGCCCAGGAGTCTCCCAAGGGTCGCCCAGGACCCAAGAGTCGCCCAGGAGTCTCCCAAGGGTCGCCCAGGACCCAAGGGTAGCCCAAGAGTCTCCCAAGGGTCGCCCAGCAGTCGACCCGTGGTTGCCTATATATATATAGGCGTCTCCCAAGGGTCGCCCAAGAGTCTTCCAGGGGTCGCCCCAAGGCTTTGGAATGCTATATGATAATGGACCATTTTTTTTTGCAGACAATCTCTTCACGTCCGCTCTTTTGATATCATCTGTGCTATTGTTGATATCACTGTTATTGTTGCAGCTGTTGTTGTTGATATCACTGTTGTTGTTGATGCTGTTAGTGTTGCTTATGCTGTTGCCCCCATTCCTCCCTCCAAGGGGGTGCAGTCAGTAGGTACCCCTGCAAAAATACAATCCATACAGACAAAACAATCTAAACATTACATGTAATTCACACACGAGTTGTATTAAGCACCCCTTACATACTGATTAAAAATTCACACAATCTACACAAGAGCTCGCTTACTTGGTATCCGACTGATTCTATACAAGTTAACACAATAAATACAGATGAACAAAAGGACAAAATCAATATAAAACAGCACACACATAAGATGTGTTTTACACAAGCATACATCATGAGGCAACACACTGCTACACGGAGCATACAGGAGGTAGAGAATATCACACAAATTATACGAGAATAACAAAACGTACACCAAGATAACAAAAAATAATGACAATAGTACAAACTAAACAATTCTAACTCAAACTACAAAAAAACTATCTACACAGAGTTAAAAATAACTGAAAAATACAAGCTACACAGAGATAAAACTTACTAAACAGTAATGGCCTCAACTATACAAAATAGCATAAATACACATAATACAAACTAACTGCACAAATACAACACAAACTACACAAAGTGACTTACATCATGACGGTGTGGCTAAGAGAAGCTGGCCCTGCACACAGGAGGCTGTATTAATACAATTAACCTGTGTACCTCTGTATACAGGGAGATTCACGGAAACTTCCTGATTTGAAAGCTTAATAAAAAAGAACTATTAAAAATACCATTACAATATACATTTTATTGAAAAAACATCGCCTGAATTTTTGTATCACTTAATCTTAAAAATGACATATGAAAAATGGCTTGTTCTTAAATTGAGATAGGGCCCTTGGACAGTCATTGTAAACAATTGATTTAAGATAAACCCCATGAAAAAAAAAAAACATTTATTTTGGCCATTAATGTGTTCATTGAACTAACAATCTATTTCCGACCAGGAACCCGACCTGAAGGACGAATACGGAATGCTCGTTGAGTAGCAATAATGTAACGGCCATTAGAAAACTACGCCTTGACAGCAAACGCACGCGCCTCACTTGTCCAATGCATTGTGGCAACTGACTAGGCGGGACACAAAATATTTCATGATCTTGTTTTTCATATATCATTCATTCATCCATATCATTCACTGGGCAGGGTGGCGCAGTGGTTACAGTTCAGCGTAACATGATTGTAGCAGTGAGTTGCGGGTTCGAGACCGCAAAATGCTGTGAATGTTCTGCGATTTTAAGAATCAGCGACAGGCCTACGGCCTAATAAACGCTAAAACCACTATTATTATTATAATTATTATCATATTAAATACTCCCAATCCTTTTCCTACTACATATGGCTGTTTGGCGCGAAATACAAAAAGGATGTTTCCGTGAATCACCTTGTATTATTCTGTATTAATACCATAAACCTGTGTACCTCCGTGTACACAAGCTTGTATAGCCACACAAAAAAAAGGAAAATAAAAAACGTGGAAGGAAATAAGCGTTTAATGCAATAATTTGAATAAAACATGAAATAAATTCACTTCATAATGAAAACAAAAGAACGAAATTAAAGTCTACTGATAAATGATAACAAATAAAACTGGACTGATAGATAACAATGATAACTGGACTGATAGATAACATAATGATAACTGGACTGATAGATAACACAATGATAACTAAACTGATAGATAAGTTAATGATAACTGGATTGATATATAACAATAACTGAACTGATAGATAGCCTAATGATAACTGAACTGATAGATAACACAATGATAACTGAACTGATAGATAACACAATGATAACTGGACTGATAGATAACAATGCTAACTGGACTGATAGATAACAATGATAACTGGACTGATAGATAACACAATGATAACTGAACTGATAGATAACACAATGATAACTGAACTGATAGATAACACAATGATAACTGAACTGATAGATAACATAATGATAACTGGACTGGACTGATAGATAACATAATGATAACTGGACTGATAGATAACAATGCTAACTGAACTGAAAGATAACATAATGATAACTGGATTGATAGATAACAATTACTGAACTGATAGATAACATAATGATAACTGAACTGATAGATAATACAATGATAACTGAACTGATAGATAACATAATGATAACTGGACTGATAGATAACATAATGATAACAGATCAAAATACGCAAAATTATTCAACAGAAAAACAATTTACCGAAGATAACAAAAAATTGTATGAAAATAATTAAAATAAATGCTTAATAAATAATTAATAAATGCTACACAACTGTGTGAAATTCACACAGAGAACACAGGAACTTTGATGCAGTGAGAAGCACAATGGCCGGCCACACAGTGAAAAACGCACACATATATACAAGTCAAACAGAAATATACACATGTTCATTAAAATATATACTTGGCAACGCAAATGAAAATAATTGGTAGTTGGCAACTCCCGAGCGCACGCGTTCACAAAGCGCATTTTTTTCCGCGTTCACGAAACAAATTTTTTTTTGCGTTCACGAAACACTTTTTTTTTTTTGCGTTCACGAAACACTTTTTTGCGTTCACTAAAAAATTATTTACGTTCACGAAACATATCACGAAACAAATTTTTTTCGCGTTCACGAAATAAATTTTTGGCGCATTCACGAAACAAATTTTTTTACGTTCAAGAAATACATTTTTTCCACGTTCACGAAAAAAATTTTTCGCGTTCACAAAGCGTATTTTTGGCGCATTCACGAAACTACTTTTTTCGCGTTCACGAAACATTTTGTTAAAACTTTAAAAAAACGGTAAATTTCAACCTGGGTTGAAGGCTGGTTGACTGCCAGGTTAAAATTAACATAAAAATATAATGCCATTGATCGCTAATATATAATAAAAATAATTAATAATAAGCAGCGAGAATAAATCTTTTTATATACGCGAGCACAACCGCCTGTTGTTGGGCGTAGCACTGATACGGCTTGTTGCCGGGCCTAAGTGAGTCAGGATGACTCACTCGAGTTTCAAATAGTGCGTCGCTTTTTAGGACAAAATTTCATTTATTTCTTTAAGTGATATTTATTTTTCAAGTAATTAATTACTTATTTTAAGTAATTAATTACTAATGTTAAGTAATTAATTACTTATTTTAGATAAATAATTACATATTTTAAGTAATTAATTATTTATTTTAGGTAATTAATTACTTATGTTAAGTAATTAATTATCTTTTCTGAGTAATTAATTACTTATTTTAAGTTATTAATTACTAATGTTAAATATTTAATTACTTATTTCAAGTAATTAATTATTAATATTAAGTAAATGAACTGAAAGCATAAGTCTAAGCACACGTCGCTTAATTAATTGCAAAAATGCTAAGCAAAAAATACTAATTAATTAATTTAATTAATTAATTAATTTAATTAATTAATTAAATTAATTATTTAATTTAATTAATTATTTAATTAATTAATTATTTAATTAAGCCTAACATTGGTGGGGAATGACTAAATTTGACAGGAGGCAGTAACGCGGTTGCCACAGTTGACAGGAGGCAGTAACGCGGTTGACAGAGTTGACAGGAGGCAGCAACGCGGTTGCCAGAGTTGACAGGAGGCAG